AGAGAGAGAGAGAGAGAGAGAGAGAGAGAGAGAGAGAGAGAGAGAGAGAGAGAGAGAGAGAGAGAGAGAGAGAGAGAGAGAGAGAGAGAGAGAGAGAGAGAGAGAGAGAGAGAGAGAGAGAGAGAGAGAGAGAGAGAGAGAGAGAGAGAGAGAGAGAGAGAGAGAGAGAGAGAGAGAGAGAGAGAGAGAGAGAATATGTGTGTGAGAGTGTGTGTGTGTGTGTGTGTGTGTGTGTGTGTGTGTGTGTGTGTGTGTGTGTGTGTGTGTGTGTGTGTGTGTGTGTGTGTGTGTGTGTGTGTGTGTTTTGTGCACGCTCACACGTGTGTATGTGAGTATAAAAGTGTGTACGTGTGTGTGTATTTACATGTTTCGTTGCACCCTGCAAGTAACTGGCTGTTTGCTCGTGCGTATTTACAGTTATATGTTTATGTGTGTATGTGAGTGAGTGTGGCAATGTGAGCAGGCATAGATGTGACTGTCTGTATGTGCATGTGAGTATGAGGGTGAATGTGAGTGTGAGTGTGCATGTGTGCATGCATACATGTATTTTTCTCTAAGTTTTTGTTGACAAGTCCAGATATGTGAGTTAGACATGCATACACACATGCACACAGACTCAAACATACACATGTATACATGCACATATATACCCACACATACAAAAACATTCAGCATATATCATGATAATAATGACAATAATAATGATTATGATAATGGTGATGGCAATTGTAATAATAATGTGAACAATTAATATATCAATGTCATTAATAAAAATATGTTTTAAAAATAATAATGACCACAATCATATGAATAATAATCATGATGATGATAATAATGATAAAAAAACCTTAAATATGGCAATAAAAATCAAAGAAGAGGTATCCTAATGATAATAACAAACAATAATGGTAATAAAAAAATAAAGTAATAATAAATAATTAAAAAAACATAGCAGACGATAATAACAACAATAATAATGATAATGTTGGTAATGACTATCATCATAATTATTACCATAATAAACAAATCCATAACAACTAGCAGTCTCATTATCATTATCACAATCCTCATTACAGAGAAATGAGAAACATGTAACAGGAAAAAACATAAATAACACTTAAGTGGTGCAGATCATGAAGGGAAGTTCAACTTTTCATTTACTATATTTATTTTTGTTGTAAACCACAGACACTGAGAGATGCCTAACAGCATCATACATTTCATATCATGACAAGACATAAATACATGCTGAAACTCTTCACTTTTAGGTATATGATTGTATAACTGCTTCTTGAGAGACTTATAGCTGAGATTATATATTAAGGCTATCACCCGAGATACTGCTCTTCTAAAGGAACAGTAGAAAATACAGCATTTTAATCCAGAGTCCTCAGTCTAACACATTTGGCTAGAAAAAAAAAAAGAAAAAGAAAAAAAGAAAGAAAGAAAAACAAAAGTTGTTGTATCTGCTGTGATTTTGAAGGACTAGACTGCAGATCACAGAAAAGAGTGAATATTTACAAAGAACTCTACTATTACTTTAACGTGCACTGCTTCCAGAATACTTTTAGTCTCATCTTTAGTATTCTAAGAATTGCCAATACCATATTTCATTCTTTGATAATACTTGTTCATTCAATGTAACACTATTTTATAAAATAATGCTGATGCGAGGCACTAACAACTGACGACGTTTGTCTCCACAAAGGGTGATACTGTGATTAGCAAAGCTCATTGTGACAGGATCTTTTTTTTTTTTTATCATATGAAAGATATTTTGATATCTTTGATACACTACCATTTCTGGTTCTCTACTTCTTTTAAAACTACATCCACAGGAAATATGATGTACCTTAAGTTAAGTTATGAAAATGAAAACTTCTTGAGCGCTTGCAATTAGCTCACGTTTTATAAATATCGAACTATTACTGTGTTCATGTGGCAGACCTTTAAATAATACACTGCATGCATATTTTCACTGAATCATGTAATAACAATGATCTGGCCAGGATCTTCCATATCTATCCACATGCACTGCTAAGCCACATTTGTTTATGCAGTTCTGTATCCTTATGAAGACATAAATTAATCCAAAAATCAATTCAAAAGAATTGATAAGATGTGTACTCAAAAACTGTTCTTTTTTTCTAATTCAGTATTGAGAATATACATTTCTGCTAAGCTAATCACTGAAAAAAGTACAAGATTCTGTATGCTTTACACAGTATTATTACAGATCTACAAAAGAGTAATCATTACAAAATGAAAAGTAATACTGAAACATTCTGAAAGATAGAAAGCATTTAAATAAACTGCCTTGAAGGACACCGATGTCCACCTAGAAGATCAAACAAAAAAGCAATAAAGGGAATACCATAAGCAAGGAAATATAAATTTGCAATTGGTCTCTACAAATAAAAGTTTACATCACAAAATTTTCACAGTGAGAAATAACTAAAAAGTTAAATTATCTGTTTTAACTACTACATGTATATATCCTTTCTGAAACAAACAAAAAAAAAAGTTAATGCATAAACAGTTCAATGTTTAAACTTAGGAATGAGCACATCAAATTAAGTTTTCATGGTTGTTTTTTTACTAGCTTGTACAAGGTATACAAAGCACCTCAAACAATCAAAAAATGACATCATTCTGTTAACTAAATCCTTTTCCATCTGAAGTTTCATAGAAATCTTATGTTACTTTAGAAGCTTCCATATATTTAGCTTAAATTACATAGGTACTCTTTGTTCTATCACAAACAGACAGTGGGATCCCATCTTTCAGTGTATAAGCTGAAACTGTACACTCTTAACCAATGAGTACACATTCACATGATGTACAGTATTCTATTTCTTTCCATTTGAAACCATGATAAAATTTATAAAAATAATGACAATACAAATAGGGGTATATATCACTGTAAACAAATCTCATACACAAAGAGGTAACACAAAAATGAGATAAACTGTGGTCTCAAAAAATTATGAAGATGAAAAAAACAAAAACAAAAAAAACAACAACACTGGACTGATAAAAGTAAAGGAAGAACTTCACAATAGTAAACATAACAAAGAAAAACAAATGAATATTAATGCCTAAGCTTTATGACCATTTCAAAAAGCAAATTAAAGAATGATGATAATAACAGCAATAAATACCTAATGTATAACACAATATTTTCCATTACTTTTAATGAAATAATCTGTGAAACTTTTCCACAAAGTACCGTTATTCCACAAAATGGTTACAGTGCTACCACAATCCCAGAGGACATTTTCTTGGGTAGCTTACATATAATCAGCTCAATGGCACCATCACATGAGAACTTAACAGGCAGTAGTAGTGATAATTACTCAATCAGGAAACAGTAACTAATATTTATATTTTTTGCTCCATGGTCAGGTAAATCATCTATGAAATTGTGTCACTTTCTCCTATTCTCTCTCAACTAGTTGTGGCATCTTCACAAAACTACAATATTAATGCTTTAATAACTGCTGTTTGTGCTTCTTTGAAATATAGGTTGGTGACCTATATTATGGCTAGCAGAAAACAATAATGCCGGTAACTAGTAAGATCCCACTAGTTACTTATTAGCGATTACAGCTTGATCTTAAAAAGGTTCCTGATCATACATGATGATCATGATAATGAGAAAATAAATATTAATGAATATTATAAATATGGTTAATAATATAACTCATGTTGTCTATTTACCAGTAAAGATAACCTACACTGATATCTATTCACGACTTTCAATATCAATTAATATAATCAAAACTATGATTCTTTTCATTACCATCAAAGAAAAAAACAAATGAATATTAATGCCTAAGCTTTATGACCATTTCAAAAAGCAAATTAAAGAATGATGATAATAACAGCAATAAATACCTAATGTATAACACAATATTTTCCATTACTTTTAATGAAATAATCTGTGAAACTTTTCCACAAAGTACCGTTATTCCACAAAATGGTTACAGTGCTAAGCAGTAGTGATAATTACTCAATCAGGAAACAGTAACTAATATTTATATTTTTTGCTCCATGGTCAGGTAAATCATCTATGAAATTGTGTCACTTTCTCCTATTCTCTCTCAACTAGTTGTGGCATCTTCACAAAACTACAATATTAAATGCTTTACCAACACAGAAATGTTATCAATATCAATGTTACATTTAATGCCCAAAAATAAGTAAATAAATGAATGTATACGCAGAAGAGTACATCAATATAATAACTTAACTGCTGTTTGTGCTTCTTTGAAATATAGGTTGGTGACCTATATTATGGCTAGCAGATAACAATAATGCCGGTAACTAGTAAGATCCCACTAGTTACTTATTAGCGATTACAGCTTGATCTTAAAAAGGTTCCTGATCATACATGATGATCATGATAATGAGAAAATAAATATTAATGAATATTATAAATATGGTTAATAATATAACTCATGTTGTCTATTTACCAGTAAAGATAACCTACACTGATATCTATTCACGACTTTCAATATCAATTAATATAATCAAAACTATGATTCTTTTCATTACCATCAAAGAAAAGAAACAAATAAATAGCAAATAACAATTAGCCCATATCATGTTTCCGACATTATACCATTGCAAGCTAATGCAAGAGCTACAGGCTTTACTTTACTTAGTTACTTTATATCTGTGTCAGAAAAGTAAACCATAACTACAACAAGATAGGATTAGCTGCTTAAAACTGTGCACCTTACATTATATATGTATGTTCCATCTACATGTGTATGGGTGTAGATATACAGGCATGCGTGCATACACAACACACACACATACATTGACACAGATGATAGCACAAACAAAACACAAAAAGACAAACACACACACACACATAAAACAAACACATACACACGCATGCACACACACACACGCACACACACACACGCACACGCGCACCCACACGCGCACACACACGCACGCACGCACGCACACACACACACACACACACACACACACACACACACACACACACACACACACACACACACCCACACACACACACACAAACACACACGCATGCACATCCCGCATGCACACACATACAAAAACACATGAGAATAAATAATTTCAAAGTATGTGATGTGTAATTATTCAAAGTTAAAAATCTTCATAGAATTATCAAAACCTCAGTTAAATATCATGAATTGAGAAATTTTTCATACCCCTTCATATGCTTTTCCTGTATTTTGGCATAATGAACTCTTTTCACACAAAATCAAGCACATACAAACATACTGTAAACAAGGAATATTTTCTATATGGCAGGATCTGAGGTTTAAGACATATATAGAACTGATATAGATTAAATGTCAATGCTTTGCCAATCACAAGCATACTCAATTTGAAGGTGAAGATACAAGTAAATCAGCTAAAGTCAGTTCAACTGTGCCCTCACATTCCATTTTACAAAAATCTTGAATATGCTGGCTGTTTTATGGAGGAAAATAACTGCCTCATACATACAACAGAAATTTGATATTCAATAAATATTCAAAACCTGTGTATAACCTAAAGAAATTTTTTTTTGTTAAGCTTTAACCCTAAAACTTGTGAATCTGTATATACATGTATATATATTTTTCATAATTTTCTTTAAAAGACAGATTTAAAACAAATTAATACTAATCCTTATACATCTTTAAGTAAATGCACCCAAAAATAATTTCTAAATCAGATAATATTCCTATATTTTGGCCTTGAAGCATTGTGAGTATACAAACAGTTACGTTTCATTTCCAGGCAGAACACTCACCACTTGGGTAAATTCAATAAATAAGCAGATTAAAATACTAAATGAAAAGCCAAATAATGAAAACCTGAGCTGAAAGTTTCTGGACTTAATACTATGCCCTAAACTGTAAACAGAATTACATTTCTTTCATTAACTACAAAATGACCCACATATAAATTCATATGTATTTGAAGCTAGTACAGTGACAAAGCTAATTTTCTCTCTTTTGTTTACAAAAGCTTGAATTTTTGTTACATACATAGATACTCTGCAATATAAAATAATGATGCTGTTTGTTCTTGGATATGCAAAAGAAGTGTGATGATCATTCACAATTGTTCCTGTACATTATGCATATTACTATGATACTAGTACCATAATTTGCTTAGAAAGACTAGAAATAATTCAGTGTTCTGGGAGTCACAAATTCTAGTTAAATAGACTGACGTACAATATTACAAATTCCTCTTTCTGCTTAAAACTATAAATGAATCCCGGTTTCATAATTTTCTTGATTTACATATGACACATATACCTGAACAGGAGGCTCAGTCTTGTATTATGCAAATTATTTTTATGTCCATTCTAACATTTCTCAATAGTGTTAAATGGCAATTGATCCTTAAGTCTTATGAGTGTTTGAACAATCTAAATTAATAGAACATGAAAGTGGCTACAATGTGGCATTTCTTCTTAAAACAATTAAAGCAATAAATAAATAAATAGGAGCAACAGAAAACAACACTCTCACACATACACACACACACACACACAAACACGCCAACACAAGCAACTACAAAGAAGCATACAAATACAGAATTCTAATGCAATGAAGATAAGCTCATACACTGTCTATAATTTATGCTTGTTTTATTTCTCTACCTGAAATACTAGAGAACCTGAGCACTACATGGCAATCAGGTATTATCTAGTATGAAAAAGTGTCTAATGAATATAGACCTTTCCTTTTCTTTTAATACATATTCTATGTTAATAAAGCATTCAACAGTAACAACATATAAAATGTATATCTATGGTAAAACAAATAAATGATATATCATCTATGGATTAGGTACTCCAGATATACTTTAACTAACTAGGGTAGTGACCACACTGCACACAAGACAGCTACTGGAAGACCACTTTCTCCACAAAATTGTTAAGAAAGGACATTGGTGTATCAGAAAGAATAAATCTTCCCTTTACAAATATAGAAGCATACAACAAATTGAAGGCAAAAGTTTGTGAAGAAATCAAGTGTTGCATATAATATTATATAATAGCTGAACATCTTTTATATCAGTGTTACATGCAGCACCTTAAGTCAACTACAAATATAACTCCCTTTATTATGTTATTCTAATTTTTCTAGTAATTCTACTCTACAGAAACCTAGAGAGAATTTTTTTTCTTTGAGTTTGTGATAGGCACATATCCTCCCTCACCATGGACTGAGAAAATGAACAAGAATCAATGTATTTCACATAAATACTGTTTTACTTCTTGGGAAAAAAAAGTGAAAAGAAAAGAAACTTAAAAACAATATAAAATAGCATAGGCTTCAAAAAGGAAAAGAAAAATAATGCCCTATGATTCACTTATATATCTAACCTTGTCCCTAAGTTTTTCATTATCGGAGAATTGGGTGAAGGTTTAGGAGGTAAAGGTGGTGCTTCTGGGTCTGTCGCAGGTCTTACAGTATGGCCCTTTTTGATGGTGTT